ATTATTATGTTGTCCCTTTTGATATAAAATGATTTCAGTTTAAAACTCTGGCATGAAAGTTGTCAAGTCATATGCTTTTCTTTAAGGAGTGCTAGGATATATTTGCTTGGTTGGACTGTAAAGAACTTTGTCAACCAAAATTCATTCAATTAATAAAATGCCTGTGGCGTGTATTTACTGAAAACATAAAAGGTCAAAGAAAAAAAACTTTATCTTTAAGATATGTGGCATAATGCACATGATTTTACCCACTGTGTCACATAACTSGCATATTTTCTTTTGAGCTTGCTCAGCCAAAATGAAACAGGAAGTGGCTTCAAAGGGGAACTATTTAAGAAAGGGAACTTCCTGGTCTACATTTGAACTTTGACTCTTTTATCATCTCTCTGATAGYGATTAAAAATGACCTAAAGAAATATCCAATTATTCTCTATACAGTCTGTGCTAGCTGTTGTAGCAACACTGTTTACATGCAAACATTCCCCTTTGACATCACATTCTGAGATATTCACATGTGAATACTTCATATGTGAATACAGTATCAACAACTCTTCATTTCCACTGCATGAATTTTGTTTTGCAATATGTTATCTTTCCAAAAATGCTTTCAAATCTTTTACAAAAATTTGATGTCACAGGCATTTTATATGGGCTGTAAAAGACTGACATTAAAACAGAGAATAAAAAGGTTATATTTGACCAAACCAACTGACAGAAGTTGCAGCAGCAGTTTTTTGAAACCTGTTAATTTGCAACAAGTATTTTCTTTTGKTTTGTCAATTTTTGAAACAACTGAAAGTCCAATATTGGGGCAATCTTTTTGGGATCAAGARTCATTTTAAAGTGAAGGTTTAATTGCATTAAACCTAAAAGTCYACAGTAAAATCTGGTAATAAAACAGACTGATATAAAATTTCTTCATTGTGTTTCTAAGTAAAAGATTACAGAGTGCATGGTGAGWCACGTACAGCCAGATGTACATGTACATTTATGTAAAGATGAAGGTCACAGTTTGTGGGGTTCAACTGTACAGGAGAGGGATGGGTTTCAGGCTGGATGTGAGGCATCTTTCATGATGCTGCCAGCGTTTCCTCCAGCAGCTCTCAGTGACTGCAAGTGGCATGCTAAAGATGCAGTGGGCCATTTTTATCACTCTCCACAGTCCTGTTAGTCAAACCACTGAGCAGTTTCATAACAGACTGAGATGCAGTTCACCAAGACAGCTGAGAAATATTTTTATCAGCGTATTTAAGAAGATCTGTTGGTTGGTCTTAAGGTGCTGGTGTGAACTCCCTCAGGTTAATCTTGAAGTTCACTATGAGCTCTGTGGTCTTTTTTTATGAGATCAATCACTGATGTCATCACATTTGAGAAAATAATGGAAAAATAAACAATGTGTTAAAGTGCAAATGTTAGTAATGTAATGTTCTTTCACACTGGTAGGTGG